GATGTTAGCTCTGGGATTCATGATAAAAATACTCAACAAACTAGAAAATTTCTTCAACCTGATCTTTTCAGTATTAATTATGTTTATGTTATTTTTGTCTATTATTGATGTTTTCCCAAATACTGAACAATTCATACAATCTGAATAAATACTCAATACATGTTATTTTCAGTATATTGCTTAGTCCAATTGACAGTAATTTATATTGTATTCATGCATCACTATTTTTCATGGCTATAAATAAGATCCAGCTATAATTTAAATTATCTTTTCTATGTTTCTTAACATTTTTATCAGGGTTATATTAGCTCCATAGGATTTATTGGGTTAATTCCCTTCTTTCTTTATGCTTTGAAATGTATTAATAACATAGGAAAGTATTCTGTGGAGAAATGAGATGACTCATTGTCAAATCTTTCTTAGCCCAGAGTCTTTTAGGAATTAGTTTATTTTTACATTTAAAAAATTTCTTTCATGTTTTTGGTCTTTTCAGATTTTCTATCTTTATGTCAATTTGGTAACTGTTATTTACCAAATTTTATTTGGTAATTTATTTATTTAAAACAATTTATGTTTTCCTAGAAAATCATCAGCTTCATGGATACTTTCTAAGCTTTTCATTCACCTACAATTTTTATTTCTCAGCATTTTGAGACATCTAGTTTCTTTTTTTTATTTCTGTTTTTGCTTTTGGTTATTGGATTTATTTATGATCAATTTACCTTTATTTTTCTGGTCTTCAGTCCATCAGTCTACATATAGCAATTTTTTTCTTTGAAATAAAAGCAATTGTGATTTTATTTAAGATTCTGAATTTTAGTGGAATAATATTCTAATCCTTTTTTGTTGTTGTTAATTAAGTCAGTATGAAAGAAACCTGATTTTTCTATACTTGAAGTCATAACTTAAGCACAAGTATGTGATAATAGTGTACCCTATTTTCAAGCAAAGATTCCAAAAGAAAATAACCAGCTTTTTGTTTGTTCAATGTCCAATTCTGGGGATTAAAATGAAAGTTGCTATCAACATTATGCTTCCCCATATTGTAAAAAAATCTGTTGTCATTAATGTTCCTGTTTTTAAAAGATTTTATAATATTTTAACTGCAAATACATATAATTTAACTTATTAATTTCCTTGCATCTGGATATTATTGCTCCTTCTCACCAGAAAGGATTTCTTCTAAATATCTATTGAACATAAAATGGAATATATATTTTATTACATTTCCATTCAATAACATTATGGCCATGTTATTTTCAAAAGGTACAAAAGTAAGAAACCCACACATGCACATCTTAGGAATTACCTTTACTCATATACAAGTAAAACTGACATTAGTTCAACTACATAGGCTCTTGTGTACATGAATCTCACCAATTTAGTTTATTCTCACCAAAATTATTACTCTACAATAGTTGTTGTTGTAGACCTTGTCTCTGTGTATTTGATAATTGTTAGATTTCTTAAAATCTCAGCAAGAAACAGATTATTTAGGCTTGAAATTAAATTCATGTATGATTTGACCTTCTTTGAAAGGGATTTAGTCTCATTATTATACATAATACTGGTAGCACAGCAAAGAGGCTAATATTCAAACATGAATTACTCTAGACTGTCTGGATTTGATTTTTCCCAACCTACAACCCTTTCTTTGTGACTTATTTGTGAACTGCAGTCCCATACAGAAGAGTTGAAACTCACTTGCTTCTGAAAATTCTAGTGGAAGGTGGGGTTTAATTTTATATTTAAAAAGGATAGAGGGGCGCCTGGGTGGTTCAGTGGGTTAAGCCTCTGCCTTCGGCTCAGGTCATGATCTCAGGGTCCTGGGATCAAGCCCCACATCGGGCTCTCTGCTCAGTGGGGAGCCTGCTTCTCCACCCCCCTGCCTGCCTCTCTGCCTACTTGTGATCTCTTTCTGTCCAATAAAAAATAAAATCTTTTAAAAATGATAGAATGGTATTTAAATACAACAAAGTTTATTTATATGCCATAAAACCTGAAACGATAAGAAAAATGGACATATACGATAAACTATAGAGAGGTTAAATTACTTTAAAACTTCCACTGTTGGTGGGAATGCAAGTTGGTGCAGCCACTTTGGAGAACAGTGTGGAGATTCCTCAAGAAATTAAAAATAGAGCTTCCCTATGCCCTGCAATTGCACTACTGGGTATTTACCCCAAAGATACAGATGTAGTGAAAAGAAGGGCCATCTGTACCCCAATGTTTATAGCAGCAATGGCCACGGTCACCAAACTGTGGAAAGAACCAAGATGCCCTTCAACAGATGAATGGATAAGGAAGATGTGGTCCATATACACTATGGAGTATTATGCCTCCATCAGAAAGGAGAATACCCAACTTTTGTAGCAACATGGATGGAACTGGAAGAGATTATGCTGAGTGAAATAAGTCAAACAGAGAGAGTCAAGTATCAAATGGTTTCACTTATTTGTGGAGCATAACAAATAGCATGGAGGACAAGGGGAGTTAGAGAGGAGAAGGGAGTTGAGGGAAATTGGAAGGGGAGGTGAACCATGAGAGACTATGGACTCTGAAAAACAATCTGATGGGTTTGAAGCAGCAGGGGGTGGGAGGTTGGGGGAACCAGGTGGTGGGTATTGGAGACGGCACGGATTGCATGGAGCACTGGGTGTGGTGCAAAAACAAGGAATACTGTTATGCTGAAAAAAAAAAACATTAAAAAAAAAAGACTATGAAAAAAAATAAAATTTAAATGGTTAAAACAAAACAAACTTAATTTTCTGGACCAACATTTCCCAAACTGTTGGGCAGAAAACCTCAGCAACAGAGTGATTTGGGTGTTTGCTAAAAATGCAGATTCCTGAGACCTTAGATTTAAGGAATTAGAAATATGTAGGGGTGAGGTTAGGGAATCTGCATTTTAACAAATTTACCTGCTGATTCTTATCAATAATAAAGTGACTGACTCCCATTTCTTCCTGAATCATCTTTTACCCTTGCCTAGCATTTCCCTCAGCTTATAACTTCTTGCCTATCATTTCCCTCAGCTTATAACCTCTAATCAGTTGTCAACTCTGGATGGGATTATTCAAGAAACAAAATTATATTGAGCCAGTCACAGTATTAGGCATTTGAAATAAAAGATAATTAAGACATAAGCCCTATCCTTAAGGAGTATAGCCTTGTTATGGAGCTATTCATGAAATTAGACAATTTTGATAAAATAAAATTTTTGCTATGTTAAGATGTGCTCCAGGGATTATGGGAGGGTCAAGGAGGTCTACCTAAACTATTCTAGAGAAGAAATGTATGGTGATAAACCAGAGGAGGTTATCATAGGTTATTCCCAAAGGAAGAGGAGTAAACTAGGCTAAAAGGTAAGACAATGGCATTTTAAGAAGAGGAAATATATGCAAGAACATAGTGGGGAAAAAATCTTGTGCTTGAAGAAATATAACAACCACTTTTATTCAAGTGTGCACTGACAGGTAAGTAATAAATTAATCTGGGTTTATAGTTAAGGGTAAGTTCATAGGAACTGTTTTAAATACAGTGAGGAATTTGGACTTTATCCAGAGGGACATAAATATCCACTGAAAGGTTTTAAGCACAGGATAAAGATGATCATATATGCAACTTAGAAACACAATACTGGCTACTGTGTGGAAAATGGATTTTATAGAGGCAAGCTTGGAGCTAGTAAGTCTAGTTAGGTGACAATTTAAATGATTCATATGAAAGAAGAAACTAGGGATGAGTTACTTAGAAGGGATATGGAAGCGGTGCAAATCTAGGAAATATTTAAGAGTTTAAATCAGCAGGAAAAGAGTTTAAATGTGGAACATGGGGAAAAAACTAGATTTCTAGAATGAGTGACTCAGGAGAATGGGGTATACCAATCTGAGACAAAGTATATAAGACAAGGATCTGACTTGGGAAGTAGAGATGATAAGTTCCGTAAATGCCATGTTTAGCTATAGGTGCTTATTGGAAGTTTGGGTAGAAATGCTAGGTAGGAAGTTGGCAATATGAGCATGGAACTCAGATGACATATCTATAGTGAAGATACAGGTTTTAGAGTCATACATACATAGATTAGAGTTAAATCTGTGAGAGTAGATGAGATCATGCAGAGAAGTGTGTAGAGTAAGAACATTTGAACTAGAAACAGAACCCTGGAAAACACCAGTATTTTCCCAAAGCCATCCATGTATTTTAGGTGTGTGTTACAACATTACCCCACTTCCAGTCACCAAAATCTGTATCAGTTATCTATTGCTGTACAACAAGTCACCCCAAAATTAGCACCTGATCATTTCATTCAGTTTCTGAGTGTCAGTAATCTGGGAGAAGCTTAGCTGGGAGGTTCTGGCTCAGGTCTCTCATGAGGCTGTAGTCAAGAAGCCCGCCATGGCTACAGTCATCTGAAGACTTGACTGAGCTTGGAGAATTCCCTTCTAAGCCTACAGACATGGATATTGGCAAGATTCTTTGGTTCCTCAGGGAATAGACCTTTTCATAAAGTTGTTTACTATATGGCATAGGACTTCTCCCAGAGTGAGTAATGACAGAGGGAGACACAGAGAAAGAAGTTACAGTATCTTTTATAACATAATCTCAGAAGTGACATGCCATAACTTCTGTTACCTTTTATTTGCCACACAAGCCAATCCTGGGACAGATACAAGGGTTTGGATACTAAGAGGCAGAGATCACTAGGAGCCATTTTGTAGCCTAGCACCAAGTACAAATCTCAATATCATCTTTTTTTATTCAGAGTTTCCCATCATTAGAAGAAGGATGGTTTGCAATTTCTCTTACCACATGATTGGTATTGTAATTACTGATATCATGATCATCATTATTCATAAATTAAGTCATTTCACACGTGCTTGCTATATTTTTTTACCTTATTTCCCATTATACCCTTCATGAAATGTCAGTGAGTGTGATATATTGAAAAGAGGTCAGATTCTCCAAATAAAACATCCTATGTTAAAAATCTGGTTTCAGTGTTAAGGAGAGAAGATTAACATTCCCCTTGGCAGGAGTGAAAGAGGCTCTCAGACCTGACAACATGCATATGGTTAAGGCCTTGCCATCTACTTCATGGCATCTAAGCACCATATTTTAGAATGGGTTCAAACCTAAGTGACCATCAACTTAATACAGACTGCTATATGCATTAGATGTTATGTATGAAACTAATGGTAACCATAAATTAAAAACCTGTAATAGATACACAAAAAATAAAGAGAAAGGAATCCAAATATATCACTAAAAAAAGTCATCAAACTATAAGCTAAGAGAGCAAGAGAAGAAAGGAACAAAGAACTACAAAACAACCGTAAAACAAGTAACACAATGGCAATAAATATATATCAATAACCACTTTGAATGTAAATGGACTAAATGCTCTAATCGAAAGACAGAGTAACTGAATGGATAAAAAAGCAAGATCTGTCTATATGCTGCCTACAAAACCTCACTTCAAACCTAGAGACACAAGCAGATTGAAAGTGAAAGGGATGGGAAAATATTTACCATGCAAAGGGAAGTGGAAAAAAAAAAGCTGGGGTGACAATACTTATATTGGACAAAATAGATCTTAAAACAAAGACTGAGACAAAGAAGGATACTACATAATGATGAAGGGAACAATCCAACAAAAGGATATAATAATTATAGATACTTATGCACCCAAGATAGGAGCGTATAAATACAGAGAGTGACTATAAAGGAGGACATAAAGAACATAAAGGAGGAAATTGTTAGTAATACAATAATAGTAGAGGACTTTAATACCCCACTTATATCAATGGATAGATCGTTCAGACAGAAAATCAATTGGTGAGCCATTGTGGAAAACAGTAAGTTTCCTCAAAAAATTAAAAATTGAATTACCATATGATATAGTAATTCCACTACTGGGTATTTACCCAAAGGAAAAAAAAAACACACTAATTCAAAAAGACATAAGGAACCCTATGTTTATTATAGCATTATTTATAATAGCCAAGATATAGAAGCAACCCAAGTATCTATAGATGAATGGATAAGGAAGATGTGGTATATATATATATATACATATATATATATATGTGTGTGTGTGTGTGCATATGTGTGTGTATATATATATATGTATATATACATATATACATATACACATATATATGTGCGTGCGTATGTGTATATATATGTGTATATATATGTGTATGCGTGCATATGTGTATATATAATATATATACACATATATATGTGCATGCGTATGTGTATATATATATACACACATATATGTGCATGCATATGTGTATATATATACACATATGCATGCACACACACACATATATATACATATGCACGCACACACACACATACATATATATATGTAATTAAATATTATTCTGCCATAAAAAAGAATGAAATCTTGCCATTTGTAACAACATGGCTGGACCTGGATAATATAATGTATAATGTATAATGCTAATGAAGAAATGTCAGAGAAAGACAAATGCCATATCATTTCACTCATACTTGGAATTGAAGAAACAAAACAAATGAACAAATAAAGGGAAAGAAAGCTAACAAAAAACAGGCTTAAATACAGAAAATGAACTGGTGGTTGCCAGTTCACCTCTACTCTAGAGGTGTGTGGGAAATGGATGAAAGAGATAAAGGCGATTAAGGTACATTTATCCTGATGAACACTGAGAAATGGTTTGAATTTTTGAATCATTATATTGTACATCCGAAACTAATATAACAACATTATTTATACTTGAATAAAAAGGAAATGTATAAAAATGATAAAAATAAATAAAATAAAACTGTTCTGTTCCCTGAAAAATAAAATAATAAAATACAATGAGGTGGCTTTCAAATTTTTAATCTCAAGTTTAAGTTCCATTTATATGACTTGCTAAAAATGTGATTTAGAATCATAAATGATTTCAGTGAGTGAAATAAGGCAATTAAATAGAATATAGATGTATGTGATACTTATGATATATAAGATAAACACTTAAAAATAATGTAAAATGTTTAAAATGGAAAAAATCTGGTTTCACTATAACTTAGTTTTGTATCATAAGCAAAAGGTATAACTGAAAAATAAAAATTGTATATATGAGCCTATCATTTCCACATTTTGTATTCTGGGCATTTTTGCCAAAGATCAGTTGACATGTTATGTATAGGTTTATTCCTGGGCCCTGTATTCCATTGTTGTATATGTATCTTTTTATGGCAGCACCATACTGTTTTGGTTACTATAGTTTTATAATATAGTTCTAAATCAGGAAGTGTGATGGCTCTAGCTTTGTTCTTTTTTTTCTCAAGACTGCTTTAGCTATTTGGGGTCTTTTGTGGTTCCGTATAAATTTTAGGACTGTTTTTTTCTATTTCAAAGAAGAATGCCTTTAAAATTTTGATAAGGAATTTAATCCCATTAAATCTATAGATTGCTAAGATAGTATAAATATTTTAGCAATATGAATTCTTCTAATCCATAAACACACAATATCTTTGTATTTTTTTTTTGTTTTCTTTAGTTTCTTTCACCAGTGTTTTCTAGTTCTCAGTATGGATCTCTCACTTTCTTAGTCAAATTTATTCCTAATATTTTATTCTTTTTGATGATATTTTAAGTCGGGTAGCTTCTTAATTTCTTTTTCAGATAGTTCATTGTTAGAGTCTAGAAACACAACTGATTTTGATATGTTGTTCTATATCCTGCAAATGTTCTGAGTTTATTGATTAGTTCCAACAGATTTTTCATGGAATCATGCCATCTACAAAAAAAGATAATTTTACTTTTTTCTTTCCTATTTAGATGTCCTTTATTTCTTTCTCTTGACCAATTGCTCTATCTAGGGTTTCCAGTACTATGTTGAATAGAACTGGTGAAAGTGAGCTCTGTTCTGATCTTAGAGGAAAAGCTTTCAATCTCTCCCTGTTGAGTATGATGTTAGCTGTGGGATTTGCATATGCAGCTTTCATTATGTTTGGTATATTCCTACTTAAAAAAAAGTTTATTTATTTATTTAAGAGAGATTGAGAGTGAGAGCAAGGGGGAGGGGCAGACGGGGAGGGAGAAAGAAAATCTCAAGAAGACTCCCTGCTGAGTGTGGAGCCCAATGCAAGGCTTGATCTCACAACCTTGAGATCATGACCTGAGCCAAAACCAAGAGTCAGATGTTTAATGGACTAAGTCACCCAAGTGCCCAGAGGTACATTCCTTCTGTACCTATTTTGCTGAGGAATTTTATCATAAAAGGATATTGAATTTTGTCAAATACTTTTTCTGCATTTATTGAGATGATCATATGACTTTTATCTTTCATTCTATTAATGTGGTGTGTCACATTTATTGATTTGCCTATGTTGAACCGTCCTTGCATCCCAGGAATAAATCCCACTTGATCATGGTGTAAGATTCTTTTAATGTGTTGACAAATTCAATTTGCTAGTAATTTCTTGAGTATTTTGCATTTATATTCATCAGGGATACTGGCCTATAGTTTTCTTGTCTTGTAGTGTCCCCGTCTGGCTTTGGTATCAGGGTAATGTTGGCCTTTTAAAGTGAATTTTGAAGTGTTCCCTTCTTTCACATTTTTGGAAGAATTTAAGAAGGCTTAGCATTAATTCTGTTTTAAATATTTGGTAAAATAAGTCATGAAGCCATCTAGTCCTGGGATTTTCTTTGTTGAGAGGTTTTCGATTACTGACTCAGTCACCTTACTTATTACTGGTCTAATCAGGATTTCTGTTCATGATTCAGTCCTAGTAGTTTGTATGTTTCTAGGAATTTACTTACTTCACATCGGTTACCGAAATTGTTAGCATATAATTGTTCATTATAATCTCATGATATTTTTTATTTCTATGGTATCAGTTACAATGTCTTCCTTTTCATTTATACTTTGAGTCCTCTCTCTTTTTTTGTTAGTCTAGCTAAAGATTTGTCAATTTTGTTCATCCTTTCAAAAAACAAGTCTTAGTTTCGTTAATTTTTTTCTGTCATCTCCTAGTCTCTATTTCATTTATTTCTGCTTAAGTATTTATTATTTCCTTCTTTCTGCTAACTTTGAGCTTAGCTTATTTTTTCTTTTCTAGTTCTTTGAGGTGTAAAGTTAGCTTGTTTGACATCATTCTTTAGATTCTCACAGCCACAGTGAGACAGATGTTTTGACTGTCTAGCGACCCATTGCTAGATAGGCAAAAAAAGCTCATCTGGAGATGAGCTCCTCCATGCCCCTGAAGGAAGTTCAACCTAATTCAAATGAATTGCAGAGCCTAAAGAAGCCCTGTGATTGGTTCCAGTCCCACTCAGCTAGAGCCAGGGATAATCCTGCCTAACTGGGAACCCAGTATGTGGCATGTCTGCCATGCCTTTGGAAGTAGGCCTGGAGACCTTGACCCAAGCTATGGACCTTGAAATACTCCTATGCTTTGAGTCTAGCCCCTTTCAACCATAGTCTGAGGGCCGTCATGCCCATCTAGGGAGCTACCCAGTGACCTGGTGGGAGCCATCCCAGGGACCTGGTAAAAACCACACTAGGTCATGCATCTGATAATAAACCCTCTGACCACAAACCTCATTGTAGACCCAACAGGTGCCACATGACCTGGTTCCAACTCTGCTCCACTGAAATCCTGGAGTCAATACCATGTGAACTGATAAGAGAAGGCCTATCTGTCAAAACCAGTCTGTAAAAACTTGAAGAAGCCTTTGCTCCTTCAAATATATAGACACCAATGGAAGCTTACATTATCAGGAAACATTAGGCAAATATGACAACACCAAAGCAAACTAATAGAGCTACACTAACCCAAAGAAATGGAGCTATGAATTGCCTGACAAGGAATTCAAAATAATCATCTTAAAGAAGCATATTGTTTAAATGTTGATACTTAGTTTTAATATGTTAACCTTTAAGAAGGAATAATAATTCTTCTGTTTTACCATTATTTATGAGGATTAAATGTTAATGTATTTAAAAGAACAGGCAGAGTGTCAGGTACATAAGTGCTCAGTAAATGTGAGCCATTTTGATTACCATCTAGCCAAATATTCCTACTCACATTTCTCCTCTATATCCCATGCTTTGTGGACTCCAGCCTTTTTCCAGGG